AAGAGTGTCCTACAAGAGTGTCCCACAAGAGTGTTCCACCAGAGTGTCCTATAAGAGTGTCCCACAAGAGGGTCCCACAAGAGTGTCTGTCCCACAAGAGTGTCCTACAAGAGTGTTCCACAAGAGTGTCCCACAAGAGTGTTCTGCAAGTGACCCACAAGAGTGTTCTACAAGAGTGTCTCACAAGAGTGTCCTACAAGAGTGTGCTACAAGAGTGTCCCAGAAGAGTGTCCCACAAGAGTGTCATTTGGACATATTAGTTTTTCGAACGTGTTTGCATTCGGGTTCGTGGGTTCCATCTTGTTTTTGATGATTTGTGCATAATGGTGCAGATGAAGTATTGAGTACATGTTTGTTGCGAGATGGAGGAAGGCCAGAGATGCAGAGCATGAGCTCGAATCCAGATAGGCTCGAAAAACACCACAGACTGCCACACAGAGGTATTTGGTGATTTTCAGAATGGCTTTGTAAGGCTTGTCGTTTCCCAGAGTTCCCTCCTCAAACCAGTTGCCAAGTCGGGGGCGACCGTGAGCACGAAAGTGGAGAAAAGTTGGCGAGCCCCTTTGGTCCGTTTGGTCCTCACATTCGCTCCTTTCGCCTGAGGGTGACGTCTAAGACTATGGCCCTGGGAGTCCAGTCGACGATAAAAAGAATGGTCTGACGAACGGGGAACTGATTTCGGGAACTTCTTGAACATTTCAGCCGGTCAAAATATCGTCGAACTGGACTTCAGTCGTGCATGACGTAACTTCTGAGAAGGTGATTGGAGACTATTTATGTAGGTTTGGAGGGTCCAATTAGCTTCTGAGAAGGTGGATCCACAGGGTATGGGCAACTCCCCTTCTGTGGATTTCTGTGGTTTTTTTTTGTTTCCCCGGTGTCCTGGACAGCAAGGTCGTTTGGATCGACTGTGGAGAGGTTTTTAGGGGCCGATCGTGTTTTGGAGTGATTGGACCTACTCCAAGGGCCACAAGAACCCCTGAGAAACCTCAAAACCATTCAAAACCTATTATATTAGGGATGACTTAGAGAACATGGCCCATGAAATAATCATCTACCACGACCAGTTCAGTCCGGGGATGTGTCTAAAGATCGTGATCAGAGTGGATCGGATCACCCCATCATGTGCCAGACCTGTCTCGCTGAGTCCATCTCCCAAACACTCCATGTATCGAATGCACACGTACATTGACCCCTGGAACCACTCCGATATAGGCAAATACGCCAGTCTCATTGACTGTTTGGGGTACTTCATATGCCAATATGCCTACATGAGGGTGGTTGAAAAGGGATCTTTCTGGGGCGGCAGTCCTATGGCAGTCCCATGAGTCGTCTCTGGGTCACCAAGACCTCCTCAGGATCGATTCCTGGATTGGTGGTCTTCCGACCCTGCGAGCCTCAGCTGCATCGTGTGGTTTTCTTTCGCGAAGCGACCCTGCGAGCACATCCGTTCCGGGGCGTTTTTGCCTTGGAGATGCTCGGCTCGGCCATGTGTTCCGACGATCAAGCGGACGTGCAAGTCGACGCAGAACTGAAAGTCTGAGGAGTGTACCAGTTAGGATCCAGCATCCAGTGATGAGCAACTCGAGAGTTCTCCGGACAGTCTGTGAGAAAGCCGGAAGAGAAAAGCGGTCTACATCACATGGTAGGTGTCAACATCGGCCCAGTGAACCGGTTGGTTCTGTTCTGTTCATGGAGTGTCTCATCCCAGAGATGTGCTAACCACCCCGAGCACCTTTGCTCAAAACAGGGTGGCGACATGTTCAGACCTTGCACGAGAATCATTGCATGATGCATGTGGGGCTTTGGTGCTTTGACCCAAAAGCATCCCAGACACGACCTGTTTGGGACTGGAAAAAATGCCGTCCCAATGAGACACCCCCTAACATCAACCACACCGGTCTGGCGGCGATCGCCCCTTTCCCCAGTGTCGTGGTGGACAAGGGGCTTGGCTTCGCCCAGGGTGATGGTCCTCTCGTTGTCGCCCAGGATGCGAACGAATGCTTGGAGATGTGGAAGTACATCATGCCCTTGAAGGACCAACGATGATCGCGCCAATGATCGGCTTTTGACGTTGTCCACCAACCCTTCGAGCGGCAAGTTGATCTGCCGAACGTCCCAAAGCACAATGAAAGAAGTGGATGTTGATGCATTTTGGGACTCGTCTCAGCCAGTCACACACAGACTCTCTGAGTTGGAACGTGCTCTTTTTCGGATTCCAGCTGCCCGCGACTCCAGCTCCAACAAGTAACAAGTGCCTGCCTTCTTCATTCACAGGAGACGACCTGTGCCTGGCACCCAACGGACCACGAAGCCTCCCACCGAGCCCTGCGGATCGACCGTGTCTCAGGACCAACCCGTTGCCCTGATCTTGTCGCGACAGGCGCCCGTCGTCCGCGCGGACTCGTCACCCGGAGGGTCGGAGGGAGGGAGGTCTCCCGCATGGGTGGGGTTCTTGGAACTGACCAAACCTGGGCCAGAAGGTTCCATGCTTCATGCTTTACTTTGCTTCATGACCTTGCAGTGTGGTGGAAATCACGAGGTGGAAAGACCAACCTCTTCGGCCCACCTGGGCCTATCCCGTTCGCCGCGGCTCGTCGTCGGCTCGGCCAAATGCGTGGCCGGTGCCCGCGCGCGGGCGAGGCGCTGCCCACGTTGGACCGGCAGAAGTTCGCCGCGGCGGAAGGCGTGCACAAGGCAGGGAGGATCAGATCCTGGATGGTGGAGGCACTCAAGGGACTTCCATGTCCAAAAGACTCCAATTTTGCCATGCCCCTAAGGATCCTTGGACCCGACACCTAAGGATAAGGGGTCGAATCCTCTATAACAGGGGTGACTGAGGCCCCGAACCAAACCCTCAGTTTTTGAGGGTCCGGATCCTTAAGGCAATCAAAATATGTCGACCCATGTGAACTTGTTCTGAGATCCATTCTAAAGGTAGCTTCTTTGACCGCCGTGGGCGGTGGGCGGCACAAGCACTCACAGCGCCCATCCGTACTCATGCCCCACCTCGGTCGGCCCACCCCGGTCGGCCGTCCCAGACAGGTCGGATTCTTCAGAGAAAAGGCCACAGAACCACCACTGAACTGAGGATTGGCATGCCCTCTCCGCCAGTGAACGGGACCTATGCCCTATATGCCCGGCCTGCCCGGCATCTCTCCAGAACCTGGGGGGGACTCGCCCGTGGTCTTCGCCTGTGTCGTCCGTCGCACGTGTTGGCGCCCAGGGTGGATACATTCTGGCCGATGCGCCTCTTGGGTCGAACTATAGTCCCTTTTTCGCCGGAAGGAACAGAGGTTCGCCCACGGTTCGGTGGTGGTGTTTGGTGTGCCCCAAAAAAACATAAGTCCAGTTTGACCATATGTTGACCAGGGGAAAAGACCTAGAACCCACTCTAGAACCCAGATGACCTTTGTTTTGATAGGGAAAAAAAAACATGTTTGGGCTCCCAAACAGAGGTCACTCAGGTATGCCGCTATGCCGGTCCGAAGTCCAGGACTGAAGGTTTCAGGAGTGCACAAATCCTTAAAACAATGGTTCTTTGGTAAAGACATGTAAGACATTGTTTGGTAAAAAAAAAAAAAACATGGTTTGAATCCTAGGGTACACTTTGCATCTTTGCCGTTCGATGCCTCGTTCGATGCCTCGTTTTGACTCAACGTCCTAATTCACTCATATTCACTCTCCACGACGTCAGTCAGACTATTCCTTAATTATAGTCGACTGGACTCCGGATTATGTGTGTCAATCCCAGACACGACCCTGGACCCTCCTAAGGGCCGTACCCGAATCCTTTGGAGGGGTCCGGATCTTCTCACCAATCCCCGGGTTGGTTCGGGACCAAGAGGCCGATTGCGTCGACGGGATGTTTGTTGCGCCGTCCGGAACGCTGAGAGGTGCTGTGGTGGGTCGTGTGGCCGTGTGTTGGATGTGTCATTGCTTCTGGTTGGTTGTCCATGTTGCTTGTGCCATATGAGGATGGAATCTGGCAGAAGAGTGCTAGTTCTGGAAAACGAGATGGGTCGGTCTAAATTTGAAAACGAAAGCAGCCTAGATCAGACATGTTGCATGTGGCTCATATTGTGTGGAAAAAGTCCGCATTCTCAGTGTCAGACGGTTTGTTGTTTGTAGCTGCACGATGGGTGATGGGTTGTGATGTTTAGGTCACCACAGGGTGGGCTTTCGTTCGCGAACATCCCAGACACAGCCACGTCTTCAGGTCCACGAACGGAGCGCCGCCGGAACTGATCTTGATGTCGACAGGTGGGGGGGGTCGTTCGGTGGATGCAGTCCGTCCTGGCCGCCCCATTGGGTCGGGTGGTGTGTGGGAATGGACCTTTCCTGGAACCCTAAGGATCGGGACCCTACAAAACGGTTTGGTTCGGGGCCCACCCCTGGTTCACAGGATTCGACCTCTTGGAAGGTGTCAGGTCCAAGGATCCTTAGAAAAGAAGCAAATCGAGTCATCAGTATTTGTTGACCTAGCGGTGCGCAGCCGAGCGCTGCAGATGCTATCATGAGGTCATCATGATGCACCAGTTAGTCTGACCTGGGGCCTGGTTTCACATGTGCTGATGGAGTATAAAGTATAAGCAGCCCTCAGAAATGGAAGATATCGCCGATGTTCTTTTTAGGGCCTCTTTCCTCAACAAATCCGAGGGCCCTACAAAGTAGGACCCTGGACTTCCAGGGCAGCATAATTACAATGCTTCGTACCAGATATGTCAAACACCTTCAAGCAGTCATCCCCCCGTGTATTGCGCCCTAAGAATCCGGCCCTCCAAATACGTATACCCTGGGAGTCAAGTCGACTATACAAAGAATGGTCTGACTAGGTGGCCCGAGTTCAGGAATTTCCTTTACTTCAGTCGGTCAAAATATAGTCGAACTGGACTTCTAGGGTATGTTGCGGTGGAGAAGGTCCGGACTCGGATTCTGGACTTCGGGCGGATCGCGGAGTCATGACCCCTTCGAATGGGATGTGCACGTCGATGAAACCGATGGATGAAACCGATCGATGAAAACGAAACCGACGGAAAAAAAAGCCGCATGGCCAACCTGCTGCATGGCAAAGGTGGGGCCGCCAACCTTTCGGACCATTGGAGGAAGCAGTTCGCCAGCGAATTCTATGGAAGAAGAATGAAAGATAAACAATGACAAACCATTGTCAGAAACCATTTTCAGACGGATCTTTTGAAACCCGTGGTCTAGCGTCCTTGTTCCTAGCTTCTTGTTCCTAGTAGTACGGCCAGGAGCCCCGAACGTAGCGCTTCTTGTGTACACAAGAATGATCGTCTGTGTCAGTCATCCTGTTCCGTGAATGTCCGTTCGACGCGACGTCCGGACCCTCCGTTCAGGGGCGGGGCCGTACCCTCCTTTGAAGGAATCCGGACCCTCAAATCCCTGCGGAATCCGGAGCGTTTGGGATGGTCCAATGTGGGAACGTGTTCGTCTAACGACCACTGACCGAAACGCTATGAAACGCTGGATCTTTGGCTGGAATGTTCAAATCCAACTCCCGAGTTCAAACGATCAACCATCTCCACTCCTCGACCGATTGATGGCTCAAATACTTCAACCCCATCCCAATCATGTGTTTCATGTCTCTGGTCTCGTCCCTGCAAAACCCACCGAACCGAACCGGGGGCGACCGCAGGTGTGAAAGCACGCGCCGAACCCCGCCCGCGGAGGCAGCGAAGTACATTTGATGCTGCAAGCACATGAAGTCCTGGCGGCGAGTGGTGTGAAAGTGAGGCACGGTGGTTTCAGTGAACCCGTGGAGGACGGCGGCGGAGGCCGCATGTGACGGATGTGGGTTCCCTTCGCGGGTTTGTTGCGTTTTTTGCCCTCGCGATGCAGAAAGCAACGCGAAGGCTGGGTAAGAAGAACTGACACATTTGTGTTCTTTGTTCACTTGAGTTGACCAAGTTGCTGTTCTTTTCAATTTGTTTGCACAAACAATACAACCCTGGCTGGCTCTGCAAGGAGAGCTGCCAGCGCGTAGCCAGAAGAGGAGTTGGCCCCAAAAATGGACCAATTCCAAGAAAATCCTTGGCTGGGAGTGTCATGTAGACTCTTGGTCAAAGAGTAGGCCCGCATCCCAGGAGTCACATGGAACTGGGTGGTGTGGCTCGTCCCATGAGTGGCCGTGGATGTGATGGGGGCCACCGTAACCTCCTTCCTCCATCGCATGAAGAAGTTGTTCAATAGTTCAATCCATGTCTGGGTGGTACAAAATGCATGTCTTTGGTCTACAATAGTTGGAGTATGTGGAATTGGCTGGGAGCCCGGCTCGAGCCGCAAGACCGCCTCCACCAAATTTGGAGACCTAGTAGCTTCTTGTTATACTAAGTAGTAATGCCCTTAGCTACTGTAGCTTCTAGCTACCAGTAGCAATGCACTTGTTACTCATAGCGTTCGAACGTGTGTGAGCCGGTTCCCCCGGAGAGGCTGGCTTGCGCCGAGCCTCCCAAAAGCAGTTTCATTCAGATTTCAATCCGAACTCGAAAGAATCAAACCAGTGAGACTACGCCGTTTACCAGTTAGACCTGGCTAAGAGCCGTTCATTTCTTTAACATCTAACTCAGTCTTCGGATGCTCACGCTGTTGTTCTTCCCTTTTTCACGGCACCCGGAGCTTGGTGGGACAGGCTGTGTTCGTTGTCCCGAAATCCCCGCCAAAAGGCACCATGGCTGGACACACCACGTGCACACACGCGACGCGGTTGAACTAACTCGCGCATGCTTTCTAGCTGGCGGGGGGGGGAGGCATCGGGCGTGGCATCTTCTTTCTGGCAGGTCTGTCAGTGTTCCTTCCATGGAGATCTTCAAACAGCAGCCTCAAGAGTACATCGACATGGTCCGCAAGCCTAGCCAGCCGAGGGGAACGGTGTCTTATGGATTCTAGGGGGGCAAGACAATAGTGCCCTTGGTTGGTAGTGTTGCATCTTATTTTTGTGGAACCCAGAGGTGCTGCAAATGGTCTAAATATAATATATATAATGGAGAGAGAGAGAGAGAGATTGGGTTTGTCCTATTACCTCTTAACAAGCAGTCAGTGAACAAGAACATCACTATTAAAAGAAAAAAAACTACAACATGACAATGGGCACATAGGCCCTACAACGTGCTTTGACAGGCCTCAAAACGAATTTACTGCCTTTGCTCACCTGCTTTGAAGCATCTTACCACCCAGGGCTCCATTGCAAAATAGACCCTCCCAGACGCTCATGGACCCTCATATATAGACCACGGCAGCATGAGAATGAATGCGAAGACGGGGCAGCTCCCCAGCCGGTCGGTTTTTGAGGGACCGCTCGGGCGTCGTGTACGGAGGGTCAGCTGGGGCTGCCTTGGATCCGACTCCGCGCCAGGTGTTGCCCAACGCGTGCCGCGCGCGCGTGTCCATCGAAGCCAGCCGGAGAGACTCCTGGGGTGGCTTGGAAGAGAGGTATGGTGCAGAAATCAGAGGCTTCAGAGGCTTAAATGTAAACTCATTGACCACCTCCCCGCACCAAATGAAGAGTTTGTTCAATTCAAACTGGGAGGGGTTATGAATCAAGAGTCTCAATGACTCGAATGGCTAACATGAAATCACGGGTAGGTCACGTACTGTTGGGGGGATGTTGGAGTGTCAACCCCCACTCCAATCCAACACGTACTCCTGCTCATTGGGACCCTCCGAACATCTCCGAACTGGAGGGTTTGGACGCAGAATGCAGCGGTCACTTGGACCACCAAAGCTGCACTTGGACCTGGGCACGGTCCTCGATTCTGGCGGCGGATGGATTCGGTGAACCGGTTTACTCCGAGAACCGCTGTGAGGAGGTTCCGTGGGTGGAGAGCCCGTCCAGCCCGTTCGGACGAGCTGGCGTGTTGGGGTGCCAAAGGGTCCGGACACAGCCCCCGAGTCTTCGGGAGTGGACGATGGACAGTCACCTGGTGTCGCCGGGTATAGAGGCCTGCCATGAAAGAAGGAAACACCTTCCGCCTGAGCCTTAATGACCTGTTTCTTCGAGTCGCTGGAGTCGTTCGCTCAGGAAGCCTGATCGGCTTGGACGGCGAGCATGTGACTCAACAGCAGGGCACAGAGCCGGATCTTGGCGCTCTGGGCATTTTATTGGGGTTCTGGACACATCACTGGCGTATCACTCGCATCTTGCTGGTTTCCACCCCGGGATGAAGAGAGAGAGAGAGAGAGAGTTTTCCCCACCCTCAAGGCCTTTCAAATGACATAGATCAGTCAAGAAGGTTTCTAACTTCAACCCCTCCTCCTGCAATAAATCAATCACCCCCTTTTGCTTGAAGCTAGTTGAAGGGCTTCCTTCTGCGCTCATTGAAGGGAGCAAAGGCGGAACAGCATTATTACGCCAAGACAAGTCACAAAGGATATCCCAGACAAAGTCCCGAGCACAAAATCAACGTTATTGAGAACCAAAAAAGTAATAATTTCCTTTGTTTCTGTGAATCCAAAAAGTCACCTCCCTAGATGTTCATGAAAACAAACCAACAACAGCTACAACGCTGTTCATGTTTGGCTCAAGAAAACAGAGCGGTTCGGCTCACATGGGTTATGAGCCCAACAGGTAGCAAGACCACCTCAGAAAAGCTGAGTGCTGGCCGCCATGGATCTTCGGCGAAGGCGCTCGCAGTCAAAGGAGCGAGAGCCGACGGCGGATGAACGGCTGGATGCCTTGCTTGAAGAGGCAAGAGCATCGGAGAAGCCCAAAGAGCCAACCAGGCGAACACAAAGCTTGGAGCCCAGTCGGATGTTGACGCCCTCGTTGAGGAAGACCTCATCGGCTTTGACGGCTGGCGCTTCAAGAGAACGATCTGCACCTGAAGAGGTTCGAGCGATCGAAAACCGAGATCGTGAAGTCCCTAGACAACCTCAAGGACCGCCAATGAGCTTCTTGCCGGTGGTTCCTCCTTTGCCTACAGGCTCACTACCTCCTCCTGTACCTGGACACCATGTTGGCGGACAAGTCGGAGGGCATGAAGGTGGTGGTGGGGCGCCGAGCTTGCTGCAGCCGGTCCAGGAGCAAGCCTGGGGAATGCTGGCTGGCTTGGGAATGCCTTTGCCTGGGATGTGGGGAGAGAGAGGAAGCCAATCACAAATGCCGATCTTGCCAGGGCAACGTGAAGCGGGTGGACCTATGATGGGGGCATCTATGGAAGCCGAACAGGTACCTAGTGGCCGATTGGCGGTGCAAGATCATCCACCAGAACGCGGGGTTGGTGAAGATCTGAAGGGTTCGGTGAAGAGTTCGCCGGTGAATCCATGGACAGCTGAGAAACTTCGTGAACTACATGACCAAGCCCAAGGCAGTCGTGGAGTACCTGATCCCGTGGAATTACTTCGTGCAAAATGTCTACAAGAAGCGGAGGTCAGGTTTCAAGAAGAAGTACAAAAGTTGGGTCAGCCGAGCTCGAACTCGTCTTTCCAGTCCGCAGTGGAGGCCCCTGGAGGCAAAGTTCAAGGTGGTGGAGATGGGCAAGCTACGAAATCGGTGACGGCGCCGATCGTGAATGTGGGACCAATGGCTCCGGGTGCAACACCTGTGGCTTACCCATGGCCCTATCCTCCCGGTTTACCTGGACAACTTCCTTGGGGGAATGGAGTGCGCGGCATTTTTCCGAATGGAGGTTCTGGTCCATCTACATCGCCAAATGCATGGGTGGCTCCAGAGGAATCACTGGGTGATCAAACCCGGTCAGTGGAATTGCCGGTGTTGGGCCTCGAAGCAACATCGCTGGCGTTTGGAGATTGGCTCACCACGCTGGAGCCGATTGTGTCGGAGACCAGCCCGGGAGCTAGTCAATGGTGGCAGCTGACCTTGAAGAGCGTGTCCAAGGCCTATGAGGAATGGCTGACGGCGGATCCGCTCCAACGACTTCGTCTGGGTCCTGTCTGCTTGGAGGAGGCGAACAAATGGTCTCGCACGGAGCGCAAAATGTTGAGCCTGTTGTTGCAGGTGGTGCCTGAGAACGTCAAAAATGAGGTCGTCACGACTCGGAAGATGACGGTAGCTCAGGTGTTGTTCATCCTGTATGTGAAATTTCAACCTGCAGGACAAAGTGAGCGGATGAACCTAATCCGAAATTTGACGGAGCTCAAGTTGACCAACAACATGCTGGAGGTCGCCCAGGGCATCCGCACGTGGAGGAGATGGTGGAGCCGTTCAGAAGAGCTGGGAGTGATGCTTCCGGACCCTGTGGTATTGGCAGGGGTGTTGGTGAAAGCTTCAGACCATTTGGCTAAGTCGGGAGCGCAAGTTGCATACCGATTGGCAACCAGTCGGCAGCAGTTGTTGGTGGACACTCGTCCGACCCTTGAAAATGTCAAGATCTTCGCGGAGCACTTACAGGCCGAAGCCGAGGAGATGTCGATGGGCATGAACAATGGTGGAGGGAAGGGACTCTCACTGAAAGCAGTGGCAGTTCAACCTACATCGGGGACTTCGACTGACCTCGACGGGAACCGGAGACAAAGATACCTGCAGGTTTTGGATGACCGAAAAGGGGTGTCGGCGTGGGGACCGTTGCAAATTCAAGCATTGCAGGTTGAGTCCAAAAGAAAATCGGTGCGTCAACTGCCCAGGCCTGAACCATAGCAAGACGTCGTGCCCATTCCTGAAGAAAGAGGGAAAGGGGGAGGAGACAGTCAAGGTGGCGAAGGTCAAAGGGGGAAGCTCGGGTGGCAGTCCGGAAAAACCGGACGTGGGTGGTGCTGGAGGAGAGGATGCCAATGTTTCCACTTCATCCGGGACAAGAACATCGGTGGAGGATGTGCCTGCTGGGGGAAAAGGAAAACCTAGTGGAGGTGCACCCCAAGGTGAAGAAGCAACAACTTCCGTGGGCGGTCTGGTGGAGGAGGCATCGGCTTTGTTGAAGTCCCTCCAAAGAGCTCGACTCATGGCGGTGCGGTGCAAATCGTTGGGGCCTTTGTCTATGGAAGATGAAGGAATGATGGGCAAGGTTGGCCTATTGGACGGAGGAGCAACCCATCCACTTCGAAAAGGTTCTCGCCAGGAAATCGAAGAGGCGGAGGAGGTCCCGGTTGATCTGGCCCATGGACGAGTATGGCTTCGACAACATCCGGTGACTGGAACTATTTTGGTGGAGGGGCACATTGAACCTATCGTCCCGGTGAGAGGTTTGATTGAGCTGGGCTACAAACTACAATGGAGCCGCAATGGTTGTGTGGTGGTGCATCCCCGGCGAGGAAAGATCGCGTCGTGGCTACGGGATGGTTGTCCCGTGGTGGCGGAGGAGGATGCCCTGGCCCTCATTGCGGACATTGAGGTGGCTGAGCGAAAGAAAGTTGAGGACTTGAATCAGGAGGAGAATCTGGACGGGGACATCATGATGTGGTGGCAAAAGCGCTTTCCTCAAGTTCCTACCCGAGTGTTTCGCTACATGTCGGAAACTCCAGACAACTCATCAAGTCCATTGCCGTGGAACAGAAGTGTACGACGGCGGCTGCAACAGTCGAAGAAGATCCTACTTCACCTCTATGCGGGGGAGAAGGCGGAGGAATGGAAAGAACTGGAAGCTCATGGTTGGGATGTGATCACCTTGGACATCACAAAGGGAAAAGACCAAGATGTACATGGACCAAAACTATGGGGCTTCTTGACGGAATTGGCCAGAAAAGGGGCCATCAAATGTGTGGTGGGAGGACCGCCTTGCCGTACTGTTTCCCGCATGAGGTTCAAGAGACCAGGACCGAGGCCACTACGTGATCGCGGAGAAGGACGTTTTGGATTACCTCATCTAAGCGCAGGGGAGCAGCGGCTGGCAGACCATGACACGGCCCTGGTGTTGAAACAACTGGGTATCTTCTACATGGCGGAGGAAGCTCGACTACGTCATGGCCTGGGAGAAGAACCGACGGGGTTCCTGTTGGAAAGTCCGGAGGACCCGGGAAAGAACAAATTGGGAAGCATGATGCCGTCATTTTGGAGCTGGGAAGAACTTCAGGATTTGGCATCTGAAGCAGGAATGAATGTGATCAATTTTGATCAACGTCCTATGGGACACTGTCGAAAGAAACCTACAAGTATCCTCACAAACTTGCCCAACATGCTTGAGTTGCAAGAGCTTAGAAGCCCTACTGGACAAGATGAACCCCTGGCCGACAATTTGAGTGAAAGAATTGAACAGTCAAGGTCATGGGCACTATGGGCTCCAGGTTTTCGAGCAGCAGTATGGGCTTCTCTCAAGATCTACATGGCCAAGTTGCTACAGCAAGCTCCTCGGATTGCCAAGGCGCTCACAGGGAGGGAGAAGGAACTATGGGCCCAACATTTCCGACAAGGACACACACCTTTCCGACGTGACTGTCGCTTATGCGTCGAACAAATGGGGGCACAGCGACCACACAGAAGAAGGAAGGAGGGACAAACTATGACATCCTCATGGTCCATGTCGGTGGATATCGTGGGACCTCTACCCCGAGCGAAGGATCTGGCCACAAGTCACTACATGAAGTATGCCCTGGTGGCGGTGGCACTGGTTCCGGACTTTGGCCAGGACAAGAAGGAGACCATGGACGATCAAGAGGCTCTGGAGCACGAAGAGGGCGGAACTGAGGAGCGAGAACAACCGGAAGAAGGACCACATCCACGGGAAGATGAAGAACCGGGGGGAGGTGGACTTAGAAAAGGAGGAAACTCCGGAGGAGGAACAATTTCACAAGGAGTTGGAGGAAAGCCTCAAAAGCGTGCCGGTGAAGCATGTGGTGCATGCGGAGCCCATCGCCTCAAGAGCCCAAGATGAAGTGGTGACAGCTATGCAGAAGGCATTGGCAGGTTTCAAGGCAATGGGGATCTACATCAACCGGCTGCACTCCGACAGGGCCAAGGAGCTGATATCGAAGCCGATGACGGCGTGGTGCGCTCGAAATGGCATTGTTCCTACCACAACAGCAGGGGATGATCCAGCCTCCAATGGACATGCAGAATCTGAAGTACATCAACTCAAAAGGAAGGTTCGATTGCATCTGGCGGAGAAAGAATGTGACGTGACGTCATGGCCGGACGCCTTCAGATATGCAGCCATGGAGCGAAGATATAAACAACTGGAAGCTTTAGGGGTGCCTTGCCTTCCGATGCTGCCTTACAGGGGAAGGGTGTTGGTCAAGGTGAAGAAATGGCACAAGGGTGGAGGATTGGTGGCACCGTTCGCGGAGGCGGTGATCCTATGTCCCAGCCACTTGGTAAATGGTGGATGGGTGGTACAGCTCAAAGATGATCGTGTACTACATGTACGAGAAGCGGTGCAGACGAATGAAGAAGGAGAACAGCTTCGAATCCAACAAGGACCGCGTGGTGAAGTGGTTCAACTACACCTGGAAGAAGATGACCGACCTGGACAACCACATCGACGAATGACAGGCAAACAGCCGTTGGGAGATACTCCATGCTTGAAGGGGGCCCCGAACAAGGGTACGGTTCCTTTGCCAGCGGGGGGGGAGTATTCTTCATCGTCGACAATTTTGAGGCCGAGTACATCAACTTCGGAGCTATGGAAAGATTCGCCGGAGAAGTTCCCAAGATCTTCAACAGCAGCCTCGGCCGCAGGAGTTCGTGCTGTGAAGGTAGAACCCGCTGGAAGGACCGTGGAGCAGGAGATGGGAGACCAGGGGCGATGGTTAGACATGGACCAGGTGAAGGACACATGGGAGTGACAACATAGGATGCTGCAAAAACAACTGTCCAATTTGGTGGATGATGTTCCAAGAAATGCCACACAGGGAGCGCAGTCGGGATTGGAGGTGGAATGGTTTGTGGATTGGAGAGATGACCTGGAGGACAATTTGATCAGGTTGGGCAGAGTGGAAAGGGACACTCGAGTGCATCTGTGTAGCCTCCAAGCACAAGAGCCGGACATTCTGCAGACCATCACGGTACCCTTGCATGAAGTCCGTGACCACCCTCAAGACTGGATTCCTGCCTTTCAATATGAATACAATGTCCTTGTGCATGACACCCAAGCTGTACATCCATTGCCCCGTGAAGAACTTCCAGAAGGAACAGAATTGATCCCTGGCAAAATGGTATGTGTGCGTAAGGGAGGATCTGGACAACATCGGGCTCGTGCTGTTATATGCGGAAATATGGCCTCTCCAACAGCAGACCCGTCGTGGGGACCAGCAGGAAGCTATGCCTCCGGTGCTGATGGAACATTGATCCGTTGTGCCGTTCGTCAAGCAGCACATGAAGGGTGGCAGGTGTCAGCGCTTGATGTCAAAAGTGCTTTCTTACAGGCCCCAAGGCCAGTGGCTCCGGGTGCAAATCCAGTTGCGGTGGTTCCGCCGCGTTTGATGTCCCAACTGGGCATATGCCCGGACAATGAAGTGTGGGTGGTCAAAAAGGCGCTCTACGGGTTCCAAACCTCTCCAAGCCATTGGGCACTACATCGGGATGAGCGCTTCTCTACATTCGAATGGGAATGTCAGGGGGAGAAGTTCATGTTGCAGCCCACAAAAGAAAGGAACCTATGGCGCATTGTGAAGGAGGGTGACAAGAGGCCCGTGGGACTGATGCTGGTATATGTCGATGACCTTTTGGTGATGGGCACGTGGAAAGCTCATGATGGTTTGGTCTCACGCATTCAACAAGAATGGAAAACGTCCAAGCCGGAAAAGGTGAACAAAGAAGATTGGGTCAGGTTTTGTGGCTTCGAGATGAAGATCCAGGAGGAGAACATCTTGGTGGGACAACCATCCTATCTACAGGACCTTCTCCGAAGAAGGGGAGTCACTACAAAAAGATCCACACCATTGCCCAAGGAACATCTCGCCGCGATGGAGGTCGAGGAGGAGATCAAGATTGAGGATGTGAGACAGGCGCAAGCGATTGCCGGGGAGATCCTTTGGATGTCGGTGAGAAGCAGGCCTGATCTATCCTATGCAATTGGGGCACTGGGTCGAGAGGTCACCAAACATCCTCGCTGGGCAGTACAGACGGGGCACTATATCCTGGAGTATTTGAACGCCACAGCGGATTGTTTCCTGGCCTATGGACGCTGCAGAGAGAAAGATCGCGGACCTGATGATGCCTTGGCTTGTGAACGCAGCATGAATCTGGTCGAAATCTACTGTGACGTCTCCTATGCACCTCAAGGAGAAAAAAGTATCCAGGGCATCGTGGGGATGGTAGGAGGGGGAGTTGTGCAATGGGAGTCATCAAGGCAAAGTTGCATGGCCCTTTCCACCGCTGAAGCTGAGCTTCTGGCCTACATCGAATCCTCGGTGATGGGGGACAGCTTGCAGGCTCTACTTGGAGAAGTATTGGGCCTGGGGGAGCTGCCTTCGGTGGTTACATATGGTGACAGTCAGGCCGCCATTGCCATCATCCAACAACCCGACGGCCCGTGGAGAACAAGACACCTGAGGTTGAGATCCTATGCCTTGAGAGAAAGGGCTCGGTTGGGGACGTGGCAGATCTACCACCTTGAAGGATCGAAGTTGATTGCGGACTTCCTGACCAAGGCGATTGCGGTGAAAAGTTCCTGGAACAGGTTCCGGCAGTTCATCAACATGGTGGACCTGGGTGAGAATGTCATTGCCACGAAGGACGACGCCCTGACGGCCGAGAACGATGGAGGTGTGAGGCTGGCCAAGGTAGCTTTGTGCGTGGCGAGCTGTGCAGCTTGTCATCAATGGCCCAATGCGGTCACCAAGATTGCAGTAGTAGCTTCGCTAGCGGTAGCTTTAGCCTTTGAAGCCACTCGTCTGATAGGGAAGAGGGGTTCAGGACCGGGGGATTCGAAACCTCCTACTTCACATGGTCAGTCAATCAGCTGTAGCTATGGGGGAGAATCCAAGGGTTCTGTTCGACCTCGATTGTGTGCCCTGCGAGGTGGATCCTCGGCAAGGGGAACAAAAGACCAAGGGTCACCAAAAGAAGAACAAAGAAAAGAACCAGAAGACAAAAGTGAACAAGAGGCCAAAGAATCTTTTGCGTCGGGCCGCACGCAAGGGTCGGAACATTTCGATCCCAACGGTAGCCTAGAGGCTTCCTGTGTAGGATTGGAAACGTCGAGCGTGCGCCATGGCGTTTGGGGCAAGATTCAACTGCGCTTCAGTGGTGGCGGAGGCGAGACTGGGTTCTTCGGCAACCAGGGGGTTGGCAACTCGACCGCATCGTCATCGGGGGCAAGGACATGGGAAGAGCATGGAGGAGAGTCATTCTCTCCCTCAGTGAAGGCTCCGCCGATCCTCCCGAAGGAAGTTCCGATCGGTCAGCAACCGCCGGTAAAACCTCCACCGGTTTTGCCAAAGTTTGTGCAACATACTCCGGACATCAATGCCAACTGCAGATCCGGGGGAGAGAATGCTTCGTGGAAGAGGCCGCCCGCCTACATGGTTGAAGAGAGCGGGGGAAAGGCTGCTGCACGTGGTGCCGCGGCAATGGGGACTTCTTCAAAAAGTATGACTGCTTCAAACGGCTATGGGGGTTCTTCATCGTGTCCAAGGTCTTTGGCATCTGCATGGCCGGATGAAGCACCACCGTGGGTTCAAACACCGAAACACATGGCGATGCCTCGCCCACCGGTTGAACCTGGAGAAGATCCACACCGGGGCTACGAAAACCCTTGGGAGCGGCCACATTGGCCCCAAGCTCCACGGCTGGTCCCTCCGTATGGTGCGGAGGAAGATCAGTTGATCTTGCAGCCATCAGTGTGGTGGACCCAATTGTTGTTCGACAAAGTGCAGCTGCTGGTGGATGAGGAGGCGACGAAGTTCCGACCAATTCCTCGTACGGATGCATGGGACTACCTACGCCTGCCATCAGCAACATGGTTGACACGCCGGCATAGCCTTCGGGTTCAGAGATTCCACCCGGAGCACCGATCGACTCCAGAGGATCTGAGAGCACTGGAGTACCTGCGGGTGACGGTGGCTTGGGTGCTGGACCTTTCCAAAATGACTTTCGGCAACCGGCTGGTCTACGTGGATGCGGACTGGCGAAAGGACGCCCTGCCGAATGTCCATGGTCGCTGGTGCGGCTTTAGCTTTTTCCTGATCAAAGATCAGGTGGCTTGAAAAGACCAACTGGTCGAGGTACGGCAAAATGCCGTAGGGGGAGTGTGAATCCAAAAAGTCACCTCCCTAGATGTTCATGAAAAGAAACCAACAACAGCTACAACGCTGTTCATGTTTGGCTCAAGAAAACAGAGCGGTTCGGCTCACATGGTTTCATTTATGCTAGATGCCTACAAGGAAGAGCGTTTGCGATCAAAAAGGCACTGGAGCTAGTGCTCTCTTTGGGGGCAATTACCACAACTGGTGATTTCCGGCGATTTCAGATGCTTGCCATGCAGAATGTAGAAGTCATACTTTTCGTCGGACATGACTTCCTGTGGCCAACACTTTCGAGAGCGACCAGCCAAACACATCCTCTACATGTCACTTCATCCCGAATCTAGCGTTTGGTCCACCCGGCCCCAAAATTCTCAACCAAAACAAATACACAGCTCCCTGGACACTGAGCCCCTCCCTGGCCCCTTCAAACCACCTGGGCGTTTCGCGCTGGCCGAGGTCGGCATGATCACCTTTGGCTTGTCGGCGCCCAGCAAGAAGGTCCAGATCGAGAAGGGCTTCACGGTCGACGCCGTCACCGCCGCGGCCAGGCCAGGCAGGTGGCAGTCGGATGGTCCAAGTGAAGCCATCCATATAAGTCGGAAGGGACCCTTGGATTGTGGATGTGAAAGGATGTACATCAGGAGGATGAAAAGGATGTCCACCACGTCCATTCCTTTTCATTACGGTCATGATGGGGTGTTCGAGGCCTGGAAGACAAAGCCACCATGTGTTGAGAAGTTGCCCTGAAGAAATGCCCTAAAGAGGGAAGTCATCTTTCACTTCGCTGACCTGTTTGAGCAAGAGGAGGAGTTATCATGACCCATCATGACCTGTTTCGGCAGAAAACATCGGTGTCGAACACCCCCCCCATGCGGCCTTTGCCTGCCTTTGCCTGCCTTTGCCTAGCCGCCAGGCGTGTCATGAGCGGCCAGCCTCGACAGATCTCATCCAGAGCAGAGGTCCTTAAGTCGTGGAAGAAACGGAAGCTGAGCACCTGACCCAGGCTGCACGGGCTCGGCACGAGCCCAGCGGTCCGTTGTTAGGCGGTGTTGGGGGGTCCCAAAACATGAGGCCAAGGGCCACATGACGACGCGAACGCAGCCGCTTTGGGGTTCGTCACGTGATCAGGAGACCAATCTTGACCCATGTTGGGTGTTTTCGTGACCATGAGGATCCGTCATGAGTCATGATCCGTCGGTGTTTGTTGAGGATCTGCTGGCAGGTGTTCGATTTTTGGATCCCCAGGCATCAGATCATTGGAACGACTGGTGCTTAATTCGTTGCATCAGTGAAGTATGTGAACTCTTGAGAGAGCCAGGTGATTGTTCAAGCTTCAATTGGTCAAACGTGTTTGAGCAAGCTGCGAGTCTTGTCATCGCAAGCTGCGAGTCTGGTCATCGCATGCGGAGAAGGGATTGTGTCTCAAAAAATAAGCCCAGGGATCCTATTAAATGTTCTAAAGGTTCTATCTTCCCAACGCCGTGAAGAAGGTCAGAGTTTTCGGACCCTGCGAAGGTAGAACCAACAGTTTCCATCTTCGCTTCCCGGGGCCATGACGTCGTTTCTTGCAAACCCATGTTGTCCTTGACCAATTGGAGATCCACTGGCGCCTCTGTGCACGGTGGACAAAGATTCAGCGGCCTCTGAAATCCACCCGGCGATGAAAGATCCGGAGCACAGCGGCGCGTCGCGAGTCGCGTCGTGGCGCCCTGACGTCGGATCTGGGTCGACTCCATTCGGGTCGTCCGACCGTCGTGGAGTTCGGTCGGAACTCTTTTCCCGAAAAAAGTCTGAAAGGGAAGAAGACAGATGTTGTGAAGAGTAATGGTTTGAATGATCATTTGTGAAGAGATTTGTTGTGGACACGGATGTTGGAAGGAAGAGAGAATGATGAAAATGGAGGGCATGAGGGAGACCTTGGGAGGACATGGAAAGGGGAAAAGGTAGAGGCACTGGCACACCGGACAGATTCGGAGAGTGGGAGGACGTGGAAATTCAGACTGACTGACAGTGGAGAGTGATATAATGATGGGAGTTTGAGAGGCATCGAATGAGGCATCGAACGGCAAATATGCAAAGAGTACCCTGGGATCCAATCAATGGTCTTTACCAAAGAACCATTGTTTTTACTAAGGATTTGTACACTACACCACCAGCTCAACCGTTCTTTTAATGGTCGAACTGAAGGTTAGGCATATGGGTTCTAGAGTGGGTTCTAGGTATGCAGTGGACAGCTAAACGATTGATGTGTCTTTTTTCAGATCAATCACAGAGTCCAGTCGCCTTTGGCAGCGGGACCGGTGCAGAAGAGGTCGTTTTCTGCCATCCATAGTGGTGAGCAGATGAGGTCATTCTTGGAGCCTTCAAATTCATCGTTTCCGTTTCATCGCAATATGGACCCCCCAGTCAGAGAGATCTATAGAATCCCAGTCAAAAGGTCTTGGAAACTTTGGAAACCATGCAATCCTATCTATTTGGGGAGCACCTTTTACGCATATTGCCATATTGCCATGGGATTGACCGGCGGAACTGGTCTGGTCGCAGCCAGTGCCGGCAGCGAAACCTCGTGTGGGCAGAAGCAGTCGGACAAAGAACGGATCCTTTCAGGTGATCCGTCGGCGAATCTACGACGCATCCGTCCTCCGCTCGGTGTTTTGGAATCTACCACCGGATCCCACCGGATCCCACATGGTGCGGCGGCCTCGGCAGACATCCGCAGTCTTCAGACTGGTGTCCCCCACCATGGTAGTGTTCCGAAGGCTCGAGTACTTCACCAAACAAACCTCGGTTCTGGGGCTTCCAAACCTCGGACCGAGCATGAGTGAGACGTCCGAAGGCTCGGGTACTTCACCAAACCCACCGAGTCCTCGGTCCATCCTCGTCCCCAAGTCCGCTCGGTGCTTCACGTCTTGGTGCTTCCAAACCTCGGTCCCCAGGGTCCGGCCGCTTTCGCCGGAACCTCCGAACCGAACCGAACCCGACGCGGAACCCGACGCGCAGAGTGCGGTCCGTCAGCGGTGCGTCCAGACGGTTCAAGATCCGACCCGCCCGGGGGCCGACGCGCGGAGATGGTGAAGGCGCAGCGGATGTCGAGGGTCTCGTGAGGAGATGAGAGCGGAGTCGGGGCCGTCGTGGTGGGCGAACGTGCCAAGCACCTGTTGTCCTCGCCCTCGGATCCTTGACCTTGGATTCATCCTCAGATCTTCGGAAGAAGTGTCCAGATCTTTCAACCTCCTGGCTCTTCCCTTGGTGCCGAAGCCTACCCATGTTTTTCACCTTTCCGTCAGCTCCTCCACGTCTACTCGCGGACCCGCTCCGCTGGCTCGTTGGGTCGGGTTGAGGTGAAGGCCTACGAGCTGCGGTCCAAGACCTCCAAGGAGTTGCTGAAGGAGCCGGAATCAACATTGAAACGACCACCTTCCGGGGTTTCACCATCCGAGGGGAAGGCAAGTTGGAACCTCAAGAGTTAAGAGTTGCAGATGTCTCCAGCTCGCTGTGTCGGTGTTAGTATCATGTTCTCCAGCTCGCTGTTGTGGTTGCTGTGGTCGCTTGTGTGTCGGTTGTGGTGTGTAGTTCTTTACTTTTTGATTGTTTTTGGATTTGTCTTCGTCGTGGCCGGTCGAGCCGCGGGGATTGCAGTGCTCCTAGAGAGAGAGGGTGTCAATGTGATGGTCTCTTGTCGAGACCCGTGCTGCCGCTGCCTGGATCATTGGATGTCAGCATGTGAGTCGTGATCCATCAAGTGGTATGGGATCTGTGTTTCAAGGAGCGTCTACGTATAGCCTAGCTATAGCAGTGATAATTAATTACCATGTGGTTTCAGAGTAGATGGCACAACCCCCCAAAAGGTGGTTTATATCGACCACCATCTAAAAGTCATCTTGGGGTCTATGCCATCTACTCTGAAACCACTGTATAAACAAAAGGCTTGCTTGGTGGATATTCCAGCGTCATCAATTCTCCAAGCTTGCAACCTCTTAGTCTTATCTCAATGAGAGATGTGCATCAATACTTGCATCATTTTACATCATCTTACTACCCTGTCAAAAGTTTCTCTGTCACCCGCTGGGATGACCCACCTTTTGTCCAGGATCTTGTGTGACTTTGCTGTGACCAGGGCCTGGCACCACCGCCCTAACTGTCACCACCGCAGTGCCACCGCCCTGTCATACCTCGTTTTGCTGCCGTGCTTCCCACCGCGGTCGGATGCGTTTCTTCGGCGCGAGTGGCGCGCGCTGCACTTCGCGCTGGCACAGCTCCGCCAGGAGCTGGATGACATGAAGTCCGAGCTGGCACAGCTCCGAGTGGCCAAGGCCCGCACGCGCAACGCGGGACGCGCACGGGACGCGGGTCGCGGAAGGCGAACCGGAAAAAACGACCGGGGTCGGTTCCAGGAACGGAAAAAAAGGGGGCATGCTTCAGCCGATCCAAGGATTTTGTGCGCATCTCAAGGACATCAATGCAGGTGAACCGCGATGGGACCGAGTAGTATACGAATTTGTGGGTTTGGATCTGCGGATGGGTTGATTCGAAGTTCCATTCAAAATGGACTTCCTCCTCACTTCCGCACCTTCCTCACTTCCGCCGGTACCGCCCTCCTCACGAAATCGCCAGGTCTCCGGCGGTGCGGCCTCGAAGCTGGCGAAGATCAAGGCGCTGGCGGTGTCGCCTTCACACGACGCGACGGGTCGGGCAAACCGGTGACGAGTCCAGGCGACGGGCGACGCGGTCGACTTCGTGGCTGGAAACCGGTCACCGGTTGGTTTGGGTCGGTGAGACAAGAAGGTGAGAGAAGGAGAGAGAAGGTGCACTGGGGTTGAGGGATTTCCATCCATTTCCTTGAGTCTTGTGCAAGTTTCGTGCGCCTCATCGGATGGAGCCAGGCCCCCCACGAGTTGTGGTTTTGGGGCGTAGATTCCTTTGCTAGTAATTACAATTCTAATTAAATTCTTATTGTTACTACTAGTAAGGCACCTGTTACTAGTAGCGATGCCAGGAGCCCCTAGTAGCGTCCCTTGGATAACTTCGGAACCGAGAGTTCTTGGACTTAGGAGGTCAGTGGAAGGGGCAGTTTCACGAAACTTGACCGGAAGAAACGCCACCTCCTCTGGGCTGGCGCAGAGGAGTCTCAGGTTGGTTTCTATAGTAACACTGGCCTTCAAAGACCATTAAAGGAGAGGTTGACCAGAGTTGACCTGAGTCGAATCCATTTAGATTTGCATCCTGCAGAAATGGCCCATGGTGTGTTTTGGCTGTATGCCATAAGTTTTTTGAAAATGCTTCCAGTCTTCCACCCTGGAGTTTGCGCAAGCAGCGCAGCACTCCGAAGAGTCATGGGATCGTTGCTATCCATCCGCCGAACGTCCGACGGGCGCGGGTCGAGTGGGTCGGGTCGGACGGGACGCAGCAGGTGGTGCGAAAGGGTATCGCCCGGGTCTTGACCGTCTACAACATGAAGCAGAAGGCGGAAGCGCGAAAGCAATACAAAGGCGGGTGGGGCCCGGGTGGGGGGTAGATTGCTGGCAAGAAGTACAAAACAAAAAAGCAAAAAGTGGGCTCGGCCAGGCCAAAAAGCAATTGAGAAGTGGCTATAGTCATAGTCACTAGTTGGATTTCCGTGGCTTTGAAGACCATTTTCAGTGGGTGAGGTGGGTTCTGATCCCCTATGAGCAAGAAAGAGGAACGAGAAACCCAGGGACATGAAGATCCCTCTTCACATCTTTAACATACAGGAGCTTCTTCTTGGAAGGATTTTCCGACCTATGACATCATCCACCAGAGTCTTTGGATGAAAACCTTTTGGTGGCTAAGAAGAAATAAGGATAAATAGGATCCACTGCCTGAAAGGCCTTCTTTCTTGTCTTTGCCGATGCCTTCACTACGATATGATACCGTCTTCAGAATCAAAGCCCTAAACGGGACGGGCATCACTGGGGTCTTTGTGGGCTCGTTTCCTGTAACTGCGTGTGTCCAACGCTCCAATGGAGCAGTGAAATCGACACAAAAATCGATACAAAAGAAAGAAGAACGCACAGTCACCAGCTCGCGCATCGCGCGTGCGGCCGCGCGCAAGCTCGCTCATGTCCTGCGGTGATCCTGCGGTGTTACTCTCTTTCTTCGCATGCCTCGTCGCGCATCTCGCGCATCGTGGCATCGCGCCGTTCGCGTGTTCTTTTTGCTGTGGCCGAAATCAGGCAAGAAGTACGTGCCCTTGGACTTGCGCCCCAAGAAGACCCGCAAGATCCGTCAAGCTCTCAAGGCCGAGCAGAAGTATGCGAGTCTCGGCGGACGACGACGGGGTGTTTGCTACCACTGGGACGGGTGTTTGTGGTGGTTGTTATTGTGTTGGTTGCGTGAAGCAGGGCAATGAACCGCAGAATGTGTGATGAGCAGCGTGTTCTTTGTCCTTTTCAGTTTGCTCGCATCAAACAGGAGCATTTTGCTGTGCTTTTTTGTCCCATCCAGGGACCGTCGATGTGACACCGTCACCTCCTTCCGTTCGACACCCCGAGCGAGCGAGCGACATGTCGACTCCGTTTTGGTTCCAATGCGACTCGCTCCAAACTGGCGGACATCGGGGCCAAAGAGGGATCTTGACTCCAGAACCAATGACCTCTGCCGTCTTCCACCCACCCTTCCGGTCATTCCGCCACTCACACGCCCATGCGGCCGGGGAAAACGGGTCACCGTTACATCGCCCGACGCCACGGACAACGAGGAAGACCGCCCGGACGAAGACCCGCGAGAGCAACTTCCCCATGCGCCGCTTTGCTGTCAGCATGTGAGAGCGGCCTTCCTGCCCGACCGAACGGACGAGATCTTGCACCCAACAAAAAAGGGGGGGACGCGATGTGGCGCATGGTGGGGGGGGCGCGTCGTGGTGTCTATAGGCGCGGTGAGCATGCATCATGGGAAGTGTGCAGAGTGCCTTTTGTTGGTCTTCTAAAATCGGAGGTCTCTTGCTGGTCTCGTGTGCGGCGCCGCAAGGAGATTCAAGTTGATTCGAAGGGTCTCCAGATATTTACCTCGATTTATCTACCTGCACCATCCAATGAGTGTCCAATGGACTACCCTACACACTTATAGGTCTCCATTGGACACCCATTGGGTGGTACAGACAAATTCGAGGTGTGGAACGCCTGAAACATCGACCTGAGGGTTTGGTCCGTCGTTGGTTGAGAATCAATCCCGTTTTCACCATGCTTAGCCTTTGCTAGCCTGCAGTTTTTCTACATCTCGGGTCGCTGGGGTGGGGGACTCGGGTCACCTGAAGTCAGACCTGAAGAGTATACCTGGCACGGTCGACCATGTAAAGACCACCGGACTCCTAAGGGTTACAGTGGTTTCAGAATAGATAGCACAGACCCCAAGATGTCCTTTAGATGGGGGTCCATATAAACCACCTCTTGGGGTCTGTGCCATCTACTCTCAATCCACTATAAATAGATCATCCCTACCCCTATTAGAACGAAGTTCCCCGTTTGACCACGGACCGCTTCGCATGGCATTCATTGGAAGAGCTTCGGTTCGTCTTCAACACAACCGATTCGTCTTCACCCAACTCAGAGAGGTCCGTTTGGGTCATCGCTGCGGTCGGTTTTGGGGGGGGCACCATCAGTTGGGGTGTGAAGAAGTTGATCTCCTTGGCCTGGTCATTTGCCGCATGGTCTGTTCTTCCTTCCACTTTCAGAATGGGAAGAGGTTTCCGAGGGCGAGATGGCCATCTCAGGCCCCTCGGTCGCCAGAGAATTCAGATTCTGTCGCCGGAGGTTGTGGGGAGACAGAGAAATGGACCAAATTGATTCTACAACCTTTGGCGAAAGTTGGCTGTGAGTCAAACCTGGGACACCCTGAGGGTGGCCAATGAACATGAACAGAATCAACTAGAATAGGTTTTAGGACAGGCAGGCTCTGGCGGCTCTGACTCACAAGCAAATGCTGCCGGTCATGAGCCAAATGGATTGACCAAAAATCTCCGAAAATGAACCGAATAGACTACAAGACCGAACGTCAACCTACCAGGGTGACTTCCGGTCCGTACCAGACCGCACGGCTCCACCGCTGCAGCGTCCGCACCCCACCGGGCCGTCCGCACCGGCTCCGGTGCACGGAGCTCGGCAGGCGGGGCCAGGCGAGCTGGAAGATGATTGATGATGTTGATGTTAGAATGAAGAACGTTCGAAAAAACCCGAAACACGAGCTGTTTGGGACTGGCATATGAATCCATACAGACAGGGGTGGTTGAACAGGGGTCAAGTGATCGGCATATTAACCATACGTGGAGTGTTTGGGTTATAAGCACATATAATAGAAGTTGGAAAAAGCTTTGCCTGAGTCAGACTTGACTTGTATTTTTTGGGGGTAGGAGATGCTACCCCGGATCTTTTTCACTCTTAGATCTTGGCAAACACTATTTACAGCCTTTGGCATGCCGCCGGCCATCAGCTCGAGCCCGCACGGCTGGTCGCCATGGCCCGGGCGTGTGTAGCTGTGTGTAGCTATTGTGTTTTTTTGTGTGCAGGTTATGCAAAGGTTAGCTAACAGAGTGTACGATATCAAAGTGCGTGAAAACAAGGGGTTTGTGCGCGACATGACTTGGAACATGCACGCTGGCTGGAGATGTTTGTGTCAATGAGGTGCGGCGTCAAAACGAAGTAGTGTAAGAGCCATGTAAGTGGAGAGCAACTGGCCAAAAACAAAAGCTGCGCTGGTGTAAAAGCGAGTGGGCAGCGAACAGTACTTGCAGAGAGCGCGTGTGTAACACAGAGCTTCTGCAAAAGCGACATGTAAGCGAAAAAAAGTAGCGAGGAAATGGTTGCAAGGGGCTTGTGCGCGACATGACTTGGAAGGTGCACAGGTTGCGGTGTCAGAACGAAGTCGTGTAAGAGCCATTGCCTAGAATAACGCCTTGACAGTGTAAGCGATATAGAACCCAATTGGCAGCGAGTTCCCGCAAAACGCGTGGAAAAACCAAGGTTGTTATACGTTTTTCTACACACGCGCGACTGTGCGCCAATGCATGGCCTGCTTGAAAAAGACGAAGAGGGGGAAGAGAAGAGAAGGAGAACGAGAACGAAAAGAGAAGAGAAGCGAAGACAAGAGACGAGACAAGGCGACAAGACAAGACAAGGCGAGAGGGGGGTAGGAGCGCCTCAACATTAAAAGACGAAAAATGAGTTGGGAAGATGATTTTCATTACTAAAAGTACGAGCACCTCAACATTAAAAGAAGAAAATGAATTGGGAAGATGATTTTCTTTATTAAAAGTACGAGCACCTCAACATTAAAGAAGAAAAATGAGTTGGGAAGATGATTTTCTTTACTCAAAGTACGAGCACCTCAACATTAAAAGAAGAAAAATGAGTTGGGAAGATGATTTTCATTACTACAAGTAGGAGCGCCTCAACATTAAAAGACGAAACATGAGTTGGGAAGATGATTTTCATTACTAAAAGTACGAGCACCTCAACATTAAAAGAAGAAAAATGAGTTGGGAAGATGATTTTCTTTACTCAAAGTACGAGCACCTCAACATTAAAAGAAGAAAAATGAATTGGGAAGATGATTTTCTTTACTAAAAGTAAGGCAAGAGAGAGGGGGGGGGGGCGTCAGGCTGTCGAAAAATCCGCGCGGAGAGACAAACCTTAAGCTGAAACCAAGACAAGCTATACTAACCAAGACAATCCACAAAACACGCCGGCAGGCCGGCGGATTTGTGGACTCTAAAAAAACTAAAAAGTATTAGATACTGTCCCTGCGCTATGTGTTTTTTACTCCCTGTGTTATGTGCACAAGCGGCTGTCCCCGCGCTCCTCGCGAGCGGCAAGAGCCGGTTGGAGTCTACAGGCTGCTGTATGCCCCCAGACACGACTGGGGACAAGACCTCGCAGACACAGGAACCACAAAACCTGAAAAGGAGAAAGGAGAAACCACACGCTTGAAAAAGGATCACTACGGGAAGGGACCCGCACATATCCTGTGTGAGTCCTTGACGCGTGAGCCCAAACCCATGCAAGAGATGCTTGGTTTGTTGATCCGGAACAAGGCTTGAATATACTCGAAGAACTAGCTCTTCTGTTTCTCACAACAATAGGGTCTCAGAGCATGAAGTGTCTAGGCTGTTTGGCTTGGTGTTTCAGTCATACTTGTTTGATCGGTAACCCGATGCCCTTCTGATTTCAGCTCGCAGGCAAATGCTCTGTGAGGGTGATACTGGGTGGCTGCGGGGCAGAGATATATGTGAACTGAAGTGCCTTCAAATTTTGCGATGATTACAATTGCATAAGAGTGTTGCATGCATATGTTGGCGTGCTCCAAACCCTGGCAAACAACAGCCGCACCTAATAAATATTGACCGTACTTCTTGTATTTTGAAGCCTGGCAAGGTACCATCTCTGGCTTCACACAACCTTGCGCAACCATGACTTGAGAACTCTAAACACAGCCAGAAAAAAGGACATATGGAAACAATGGATGCGTTGAAGGTATTGCACAGCGGCAAGGTTTGGGAGATTCGTGGCCACTCCCATCTTCAAGGCTGTTTGGAAAGGTGGAACCGATTAACTCCCTAAAAGTTGGCCATTTGGTGCCTTGTAATGGGGACCTGCGGAATATTGTGGGCAATGCTAATCTTGCAAAGCATCGAAACGCCACAGCCTATCCTAGACCCATTGCCTATCATCGCCCTCGAGGGTCAGTTGTTTGGGTGAAGCTGGCGCGCCGACAGCGCCCAAAAAGGGTTCGTGGACAGTCCCGGAGCTCGCGGATGCAGAGAGGCAACTGCTGCACAACCAGACATCTCAGAGGACACTGATTCGAAGTACCTACGTAACCAGGACGTTTCAGGAATTTTGCGAGATGTGCTGCAAACAAAAGCACCAGGTAGGTGGCTTATACGGATGTTCCCTCCGCAGCGGCTCTATCTCATCAGTCGCAGTGTGCTACGTACTGCTGCACTCGAGCTTCTGCCTTCCTTGGATGCACAAGCAGAGTGATATGCATCCAGGCTGTACCTTCTTGCAAGTTGCTGCAGACAAGCGCTATATGATCCACCAAGGCCTTCGACAGTCTTCTGGTGATTCGCTATGCCAGCTGACACTATGCTCATCCAGTCCATTGCCTCCGGGGTCACCCAGACGTACTTCACGCTGCTGGTCAAGTCTGCCGAGCACGCGCAGACGTACTCCGCGGCGACTTGCCAGACGGCACTGAGGGCGCCGTCTCACTGACCCTGTCCTTTGCTATACACTGTCCAGCTCCTGCGTCGCGCGGCGTATCACCGCCTCCATATCCTACTGGACTTCGCAAGAAGACTTTAAGTTTCCTGAGGCATTCGAAGGAAGCAAAAGCACTGGCGGCCAATCCGAACGA